GCAAAATCCAGATACACCGGTCGAAGAATCAAACAAAAATAAAATAGAAACATGGACGAAGAAACGGAGGTCCGCGCCACACGCGCGAAATCGTCTCACTCATCTCTTCCTGAACAAACCCTCGCTCTCGTCCGTACGCCTATTGTACGGTCAGGTAGACTCGACCCAAAACCGCTTACCACCGTCACTCACCACTTACAGTCGGAAGGAGGTCCTGCGACCACAAATCACGCGGCTAGGAGGGTCGATTACGCACTTCCTAAAAGCTTCATACGAGTTCGGAATTCACCGTGACGACATTACACCTCAGGTCCCGAAGACTAGTAATGTCTTCTCACCCCTCGTGGTGTCGCAAATACTCTGGTCTAAAACCAGAAACGAACCCTCCAGTGCCCAACGAGCGTCTTCTGAGAGCGAAGGAAATCGGAACTCTTTCGGCGGCTGACCGTCGTCGACTAGCCCGCCTACCACATTAAGTAGTAGTTAGTTCCGAAAAACTACTATCCTCCGACCGTTCCATACCCTTCACAGGTGTCAAAGGTCAGCACTACACCCACGTTACCTCCTACACCACCATCTGGTCCGCATGTCGTACAAACCACGCACCAACCTCTCCAAACCAGAAAAACTACAACTCACCCGTCTGTTCGACAAAACACTACAAAAGCGTTTCCCGACCTATCTATGGGACCTCCAGGACGAACGACTCTCCCGATGTTGCACTACAACTTCCTCACGGCAGTCAAGACATGTAATACACTGGGCGTCTGAAATGCCGCTACCCCGCCGCTCGCAACCGACACTCCTACCATCCTATGCGCGTTTTTGGGATTTCTACCTTTTATCACAACCTCCTACTGTGTAGGGCAAACTGAGAAACATCTGGGCGGCTTCAAGCTTCAACAGCGAGGTGTACGGTACTCATGGCGACCCCGCGCCGACTGTATACAGCTGTCGCTCCAGAGTCATGGGCCTGCCATAACAAGACCCGTTCGGTTAGAAACGTTCGAATGGTCGGCTCTCCCCGGACTGCCGAGTTGACTCAGCCTATCCGAAATCACTCCAGCTACCTTCCGGTACATATTACAACTAAAACAAGAGACGTACAAAAGAACGTCAACCGTCATACTTTTACGTCACAGACATCACCGGAGACACACCCGCTTTACAGGTGAGACTCTGAGTCCTTCTCGACAAGACTGTCCCCCTACTCAGACAACCGGTTGTGGGGCTCGATCCCGAAAGGGATACCACTGTTCTCGCTCTTTATGGCTTGCCCATTAAAGCGCGTCAGACGGACAGAGCGCAACGAAATTTATACCTCTGTTATCCCGCTAGGGATTCGACTCGTCCCTCAAGAGCCAAGAAGGGCCTAACAACTATCTTCGTCCCGTACCTACACGAATTCTGTCTAGTCAAGGCGGAAATAAGCTCTTAAGACTGACCTACGGCAGCCGGCGTCGTCGGAACAACAAAAAGTACTAAGCATTACCGTAGGGACGGAGTGAAGAAAAGAAAGTAGTCTACAGTTTATAAATTTATACTCAAAAGGTTTCCTTTTCCTAGGGTTTCTCCTTAGGTATCCTTCCTTCCGGACTTCTGTTTTGCCTGACGACCCTACCGCCTCTGACCGTTTCTGTTCCACCCTCCTCATAACAGTTTACTGCGGACCACCCACACGGGTCGCCTCCTCTCGTTACTCCTCCCGCCGCGTCATAGTCACATCCCCGGTTCGAGCGTCCTCTGTTGGTCGTCTTCCTTACTTATCTTCATCCTCCCCTACAAATTATCTCCGCTACCGCGCTTGTCCTCTTCCTCGTACCTCACTCTCCGTGATTACTCTCCACCCTCGACCTCACCCGCTCGTATTCTGAGACTTTGATCGTGGTCTGCTGTTTCCGCTCCCAGTGTCCCTCCGACCGCGCGAAGTCGACCTAAAGCACGGAAGGTAAACACTCCGTGCGGAACACACTTGTCAGGTGGTCAAAGAGAAGTTTCAACAAGTTTCAACTGTATTCCTACGGGTCACGCACAGTTGTCAAGAATAAGTGTTCGGAGGACTACGTATAGAGATTCCATCCGTGCTAATGCTTAGCATTTTATCGCGAGTATTCCCTCATTGGAGATATGATCAAGGCTTCCGCCCCTCTTTCTACGTTCTCGTCCTATCCGCTCCCATTCTACATGATAGGTAGAAGGAGTGAAAGAGAGCAAGACGAGTCTTATATACTTTCCTTGGCTAATTTCTCATTATAGTCATCTCTACATCGAACAACAAATAGGTCGTCTCTGGAGCACCAGTCCACACGGTGCCCAGAGGACATGATACAATGAAGAACGTCGAGTAAGAGAAATAACACGAAGTATACGACACATGTAACAGAAGGTCTCGGTAACAACTACTCCTCAAATCGTGTCTCCTGTCTTGTCGCACAAAGGACCGTCGCTTACTTTTGAGTGTGTCGAACCTCCAGCGTCATTTGTTTGTCTCCGTCTCCCGTCCAAGTTTGAGTGTTTTTCGGCCCATTCTCAGTCTACAAATTGTGTCAAGTCAGGTCTGACCGTGGTAGAGATTGCTAAGTTGCATAGATTTTATCAATATACCCTTCCATTCGTGTTTCCCCCTCCTAGTTTATAATATTTCATTGTTTGCCATATTTGCCTGGTAACAGTGCTTTTATGTTTCCTGCGTCCACAACTATAATAAGGTAACCATACGTGCCAAACTCGGTTTGTTTTGTCTTTTTTTGGGGTGTTTCACCGACAGCCCCGCCTATGTCTTTACGCAACTCACGGGCCGGCTCGGGCCTTTTTTTGTTTTCGGCGGTCATCACGTCCGGTATCCGTAACTTTTTTTTTCGACCACGAGGCGCGTGCCTCTTTTCTTCTTCCACCCCTTACCTATCTACCCTTTTTTTCTTCTCTTCCTTTCGTCCTCTTCCATCTCACCTCAACCATCACTAGCTTCTCATATCACCGCACATGAACAAAAACGAGCTATTTGACACTTATGTTACCATTATTGCATATTTTGGGACAGAACAAAATAAAACTTTCTAACAGGCAAATAGTCAATACAAATGGAAATAATTATAGATACTAGTTCTTGGGGAACACGCCAACTTAATGTATTGATAAAGATCTATCAACTAGCATCTCTACCACCGGGTCATACTCCCTGACTTGTACACTAAATTTTTAGACTATTAAATTTCCTTGTAAAACCTCTAAAACTTTGACGGTTACATACAAACATAATGACTCTGCTGATCGTCGGATACATCACTAACATACACTAACCTACTCTACCTTTTCGCACAAGACATGCTATACAATTTTATTGGATCAGTTCTTACCGAAGACTTCTTTTTACACAATGTTGTCTTATACCTCGTGTTAATTTCTTTACTCCGACTTCTTCCATTGATCATGTCCTCTGGTCACCGCCTTGTGGTACTTTTGTCTCCCACTACGGTACCTATTGTTCTCTTTAGATCAATACTTAATGGAGAAATCCGCCACAGAGCAAGCTATATAGACTACGTCTTCCTCTTCACATCCTCTAACCTATCATGTAGAGCATGGTACGTATAGGACGAGAACGTGAAAAGCGGTGCTCTGAACCTTACACATTCTCTCCTCAAATTGAGGGAACTCCGACTAATCCTCCAGCTCAAATCATCACGCGATTTGAACCTCCTATCGTAGTCTATCCAAATACTTATTCTACAACTCCGTACCCGTCAGTGCACAAAAGTTGACAACTTGTTGAAACTTCTCTTTGACTCACCTGACATGTTTCGCAACTACTTTTTTACCCGACATGGCAACAGACAGGGCGACCTGGAGGAACCTTGTCCGTGAGGGTGCTGCACTATACAATGATGACCTCTGCCATGCTGCACAAAAGACAAGCGCAAACTCAGGAAGGAGAGAGCAACCACCAAACAGGTCCAACCCAAACCCTCCACCACTAAATTCCCATGTCCACACTGCACAAGGATAATCGGGTCCAGAATCGGCCTCTATGCCCACCTGAAGACCCTCAAGGACCAAGAAGGAGGACAGTCATACTCGACTACGAGTGACCGCCGATGATGATGGTGTGTGTGTGTGTGTGTGTGTGTGTGTGTGTGTGTGTGTGTGTGTGTGTGTGTGTGTGTGTGTGTGTGTGTGTGTGTGTGTGTGTGTGTGTGTGTGTGTGTTAGAGCTCCATGCTGCCCTGTGGTTCCTGCTGCAGACTCCAGCAGAGAAGTTAACAGCTGCTGGCTGCCATAAAAACATCCAGACTGTCATTAACATTCACTCCCTGTCAATTAAACTGAACATGAAAAACTGATCGAGAGTAATTTCCCCCATCACTACATTTACCTAAAACAAGAGGACATATGTCATTGTGATTGTACTGTACAAAGTGAATTGGATTATTACAATACAGTGCCTGTTTATGGTCAGGATGGGGATCAAGAGACATTATCGCTTTATTTCACAAATTATTTAGAGCTTGGACTTTTTTACGTCGTTAATATGATCAATGCTTTGTTTGGTCGTTGTCGAGCATATTAGTTTTTTTTTTTACTAGTTATGTGCTTTATGGTTTGTGATGTTTTTGTTGAGGTCTATACTTTTTCAAGGCACTTTTGTGCAAGATGATTTATTTTACTGGCAAAAAGATTGAATTCACATCAATTCACTTAGATTCAATTAACTTAAAAAAAACATTGAATTCTGAAAATGTTTAGAAATAACTTATAGACACATGTTTGTAATCTTATCACCAATGTGGATTGAACGATATGACTTCCATTGTGGCATAACAGTAAGGAATTGAGTGTAAGTAAACCTCTGCTGCAACAAGTTCTTGTATAAGGAGTCACGGATGCCATCAATTAACACAAACACACAACAACAAACACACACCTGGTCGGCTGACCAGACCTCTGTGTCCAAACTGTGAACTCACCATTAATCTCATCCTGAGACTTTGAGGCTCGTCTGCCGCGTTTTCTGAAGAAGGTTGCTGCATCTGCCTCTTTCATGAAGATCTTCTTCATTGAACCTGCGGTGGGGAGCAGCAGGGGGTTCAGCTCACAACACAAAGAGATAAAGAGAGGGGATGAAGAAGAGGTGCAGCGCCTCACCTTGAGGCTCTTTAACGCTGCCTTTGCTGCCGGGCACAGCTGCAGAGTCGGCCTCTGGAGACACTGGGGCAGAGGGAAACACATAAAGGGTTACAATGATTACAACACAGAGAATCTAGACTCACATTCTTACCCCTGCATGAAAAATACAGACAGATTTCATCACATTGATTCTCCTGCATCAGACTCACAGGAAAGTGCCACAAGCACAGCGACGAGGGCCAGCAGGGTTGCATACGTCCAGGACATCTTCAGCTTTGTGTCTGAATGTGTGGAGAGAAATGAGTAATGTGGCAAACCACGATGAGAGGTGGGTTTTTGAGGGAGGTGAGGGAGGGAGCCTGGAGGAATATTGACTGCTGGACAGAGGAGAGGGAGGGAGTGACCTGAGCATCTGATAAAGCTGAATTCAAGAAACAGCAGACAGAAAGGGGCTGAAGGTTAATTAAAAGTTGGTGTGTGCTCTTTTAATCACTCATTTTTAAAGTACAAGTGGCCTGTGAGGGTCTATTTCTTAAGTCATAGAAGAGAAAATGTATAGGCTTTGCTGTAGAAATTACCCTACAGGCTAAATATGCAAAACTTGTCGGATTGATACCCGCACAAAAGAAATTCGATAACTTAAAACAAAAACAGACGTTTCTGGAAAATAAATACAAAAACAAACCGAGGCCCAGGGTTGAAGGGGTTTTCTTGCCAAATGTCTCCTTTGCAGATGCAGCTGAAAGAGGCCCCTCAACAAGACCGCTCTCTCTGCTCCTTGCATAATGTCTTGTCGGAAAGTATGCAGACTTCTGTTTGCAAGAGTTTTTTTACACACCTGAATTCTGGCTGTGCACCAGAAAATACTGAATGTTATAATTGTTTTGTGGGGGAATCCAAGATGGAGCAGGATTGTTGCTCAGGGAAGTGAGAGGAAATCGGGAGGAGGGTTTCAAAATTCGGTCGTGAGTTTATTCAGGTAAGTGCTGAAAGCATATTGAGGATGGAAAATCACAAGTAAATAAGGACATTGAATTCAAGAAAGAGGCTGTGAGTTTTAAATTCAGGGAAAAAGCTACACAGTGTTATTGTGTTTATTTTTCCCGAACAAAACCTATAAAGTCAAAATAACATGTGTTTTTTAAAAAATAAAATAAACTACTCTTTAATGTTTTAAATAAGCTTAATGACTGAAAAAGTATCACTTCTCACTTTGGGTTCCGTGTAATTGTGACGTGATTTCTCATTATTTTCAGAAGGCTCCACCTAAACCAAGAATAACAGTAACATCTGTTGTTATTATTACAGATTATTATAATTATTATAATTATTTATGCATGAATATGTATGTTACCAAAGCTGGTTAAAGTGCAGCATTAATTACTTTGTATGGGTAGCGTGGGGATTTTAAACCAGGATAAACTAAACATTATTAATCCAAACCTGCAAAGTAAAGGTAGGCTATTAATTAAATGTAGTGGAGTCAAAGTACACGATTTGCCTCTGAATTGTAGTGGAGTAGAAGTACAAAGTAACACTAAATTGAAATATTCAAGTCAAGTAGCCTACCTCAAAATTGTACTTAAACTCAGTAGCCTACTAAATTACTTTACCCCTGCATTCCTCCACTGATTAGTGGCCCAGGTTTATTTTTGTTTAAAGGCAGCATTTCCTCCACTAAGAGCCGCTGTGGGCCCGCTGTCTCCGGGCCTCTCTGCCTCTCCTCGCTGCGGCAGTAGGGGGCTCTGTTTCCCGCAGACACCTCGATGACACGGCGGTGTGGCAGCGTCAGCAGGCAGAGGACACACTCGGATCAACCAGTAATCACCATCGTCACTCACACTGCCATGGTCGAAAAAACCAACAACAGCGCTTCCTATTTTTTTTACCGGGAGTGAAACTTTAAAAGGCTGGAAAACAGACATGCTGCTAGACGCCATAACCCCGAGGATATAGGCGACATTAAAGAGCGGAAAGTAGCCTCCACCACACCGAAGCCACAAAGAAGGTTCTTTTTTTTCACGCTCGGAGGGAAAGACGGCATCCGGCCTGAGAAGAAGCTCCGAGGTCGGGGACTCCGGTCGGAGCAACGCTCATCGTTTCTGGTGAGAGTCGCACACATTTTCAGTTTAGTTTCTGTGAATTTACCGATGGGTTTAGCCCCTGGTTATACCCGAGGTGATCTAAGAAACATTCACACCGCCCTGCGTTGACTCTAAACGGGCTTAACAATGTTTACTTCACATCCCTCACAGTGTGTGTGTGAATGCAGTCGTTTGTCCCATTCAGCGTTGAATGGCCGCATTTAACTAAAAAACAAAATGTGAGGTTAAAAACATGCTGCATACATGAATAGTAAAGTCAGTTAAGACTGGTAAATGCTTCACTATGTGTGTCCTCATGGTTGCACGTTTGTGTCAGGTTTGTAGTTAAATACACAGCAATTAAAAAGAACTGGTTATTTGTCGGTAAATTGTGTGAGGTTTGCTTGTAAGAGGGGAGGGCTCTGCTGCTCTGCGTGTATCGTCTTGCATAGATGTCACCAAAACATTCACTGACCCATATTTTAAAGATGGATTGTTTTCCAGACCATATTTTTTCTCACTTGGAAAGCACCGTGCAAACTGTACCAGCCTCTGATCTCTCTCTCTCTCTCTCTCTCTCTCTCTCTCTCTCTCTCTCTCACATACACATACACAGTCAGTATTAACAGCTTTAAGCCTTCTCAGCTGTTTGTGGTAAGGCCAGAAGCAGACATGGGAAACAGTTTAAGAGACACTTCTGCAACTTCTAGGAATTTCACCTCAGCTTTCATTGAATTCCCGTACTTATGTCTTCTTCCTGACCTAACCTGCGAACTGTGTGTGGATTAATGGTGGATGTGAAGTTGGCAGGATGTCTATAAAGGAAGACATCATTGTTCTGGAGGGGGAGGGATGCTCATGGCAAACTCCCGAGGAAGTTCATTTTAGTGTAAAAACACCCAGGAGCCTATGTGGTTATACATTAGTTGCCACATTTATTGTTCTCGTGTTGTTAACACTTTTGTACAAATACTTAGAAAGCTGGTAAATCTTCTGTGTTGTGCAACTATGTTACATTGTTGTGCACACGGGACCAAACTCTTCATATTTGTACAATAGTAACTTTAAGAGTTATGTTTTTTACCTTTTCATTATAGCATGATCAGAAACCAAAAGTGGGAAGACATATCAATAACTTTTTCTTATTGTCATATTAATTATTTTGCAGAATAGTTTCCTCTATTGATTAATTCGGTTTTTTTCAATTATCAGAATTTCCTTGAGCCCAACTTTAAGTCATCACAAGTCCAAAAACGAAATATTCTGTTTACCTTCAGACTAAGAAAACCACTTGAAAAGACTTAAAACCAGTACGTTTTTTGCCATTTTACTTAAAAAACATTACTTATCTATGATTTTAACACATTTCTGATTATCTGTTGATCAACTAATGGATTAATAAACTCATGTTTCAGCTAATGTTACAAGTTTAAAAACAAATATTAGATTCTGCTGATATTCAGAAATTGGTAATATTGAATATTGTCACCCTGCCTATACATTTGATCAGAAAATACATGCTCTTAAACTAATTTGTTTTTGTGTACTAGTGCAATACCTGTAAAAAAACTTCATTATACAAGTCAAGAAGATAAGTGGTTTTCTACAGACCCCTTTGTTTCTTTAGCTAAACCAAACTCCAAAAATGTAAAGGCACAACACGCCTAAATAAATACCTTGGAAAATATATTTCAAACCAGAAACATTGTGATAATTTAAGCTGGAAGGAAAGCTTTATACACTTTCTCTACTATGGAAACATTGTGAAAAACATCTTGAGGTTTCATAATCATTCTTGTCAGTCTTTACAGTTTATATGGTTCTCATATAGAAAGAGTCATCAGAGCACTTCCTGTCATTGAATAGGTTTCAGTTTTACAGACGCCGTTGAGCTTCCTCGATGTGCATCATGTATCTTCAGGAGGTGTGTCAGTGTTATGGGCTGAAAATACCTCGTGGTATCCTGGTACCTGCAGGATGGCATGGGGCTGTTGGGGGACAGTGTGCCCGTGTGTTGGTTTGACGTGGGGTCGTTCCCTTGGTGAGGGCCTTGGGGATGGTGGTGGCAGGGACACCTGACACGCTGTGAAACAGCTGTAGCCACGCGGTGCTGATCCCTCGAGTCCCAGTGCAGATCAGATGATAGGCTAGTATGGGTGTGTGTGAGAATGTGTGTGGGAGCATACACATGAGTGTGTCTTTGCCAGGGATCCATTCTCTATTCAACACACAATCATACACATTGATTTTAAATCCAGACATCAAAGACTTTTTTTGGGCAATTTAAGCAAGGTGTGTCTAGCACTGTGTGCTATCTCTGGCTGTGTGTTTGAGAGCTCATGTTTAAGCGGCAGGCCAGGACAGCTGGCTGAAGGTTAATGTGTCACTGCTCTCTGGAGAGCAGCTGCTATGTCACAGGCACCACTCCTTTCTATAGATAGCCGTGAATACCAACTCTTCCTCTTTTCTTTGCTGCATTAACACAAGAACTCTGGCCCCGGCATGCAGCTCAGGCCTCTCACATGCGGTCGCCCCACAAAACAAATGCTGTGGCTTGCAAGTTTATCCGCCTCCACTCTCTGAATCCCTATCTCCGTTTGAATCTGGGAAGTAAAGACTCCTGCAGCCCCAGAGCCAGCTGGCCAGAGAACCTGTTTGATCAAGTTTTACTGTAATACCTTGCACCACATATCTGGATCGCCATCTGATCTATTAATGTCTGAAACAGGTGAGGGACAAATATTGCCCTTTTTACCGTCATTCTTGGCAGGATCTGCGGGAGCTGTCTGAACACTTCTGTCTGGTCTTTATTTGGAAGCAGACACACACACACACACACACACACACACACACACACACACACACCTTCATCCAAAACAACATTATTACAGCCAGCACTGCTTCACATATTTTAAAAATGTACCGCAGTGTTCATAATTAAGTTCTTACTGGTTTAACAAAATACCATGTTTAATCCATGGCTTAGGTTTTTAATTAGCTGAATTTAGAAACCCTCAGGCCCACTCTACCTGGGCTCTGTAGGTTTTTCTAATCAGGGATTGAGAAAGGAGACCAATGTTCAACAGCTAAAAATAAGATCCTCCGTAATGAAATCTGTCCATTCTCCATTTAATTCAAAGCGTTGTGTGTGTCGCAGCACTCACAAGGGGATAAGAAAAGGGTTTCCTCAATACATTTTTTTAATTCAAATGGAGTTATCAATTCAATATTAGTTGATAAAGGATTAATTAATAACAATTTTGATAATCAATCATCCCGAATATTAGCTTCTCAAATGTCACGATTAGCTTTTGTTTTCGTTTCAATCAAATTAATATCTTGTGTTTTCTGACTTTAGGCTCTTAAATATTTTTACAAGTAGTTTTTAATAAGTTAAATCTGATTACTATTATTCAATTTGTAAATAGAAGATTTATCCCTGAGCGTTTTGGTCATTGTTTCATTTTTTTACAACTAAAAAAGTCATGCAGCCATAACAAGATACCAGCTTTACTCTCTGCAGGGTTTTCACCAAAGTGTAAGAATCAACTGTGCCTGGCAGGCAGACTGAATTTATTACAAAGGCGGCTGAGAGCCGTTTGTGTTTGCAGTTTGATACTGAAACTGATATTCTGATAACCCCGTCCTGCCGCCTGCCCTCAGATAGCCGCCTGGCCTGTTGCTCCCCCTCTCACAGCCATGAAAAGCTATCAGGAGCTGCTGGGGGTGCAGAGGAGGGGGGCTAATTGTCGCTCTCTCTGATGCAAATGTGATGCTCACAATCGTACGCCAGGTGACTTGACTCAAATCAGATGATTATCTCCGTAATGAGCCAAACAAGCGTGTGATAATCATGCTGCTTTTTTATCCAGAGTAAATTAGGAGAATCAATCTTAATATATGTTTTTATGAGGAGAGAATAACACAATCTATTAGTGGTAAACCTTCCAGGGCCCTTTCTGAAAATGTTTTATTTGATCCTCCTCATTGTATCTGCAAATTATTCCAAACACAAAACCTTTTGAGCATTTACAAAAAAGACAGTTGTTTTGCATTGTAGTAACACAAGTGTGCTGCCTGCCAGATGATATCGGGCTCTTTCTGGCGATCTCAGCTGTGTCCACAGCGCTTATCTGCCACAATCATGCAGGCTTTTTATCCCATTCATAAGCTGTTATCATGTGAAGTGTAAGTGGTGCTTTAAATGGATCGTTTCATATGAATAGTCTAATTTCATGCTATTCATCACATTTTTTTTTTAATCTCAGAATTTGCCCACACAAATATGTGAGCGTACATTTATGTATAAAATGAAATAGTCAAAGTAATTTTTCTGTGTATTTAAATAATTAAAATGTATTAATAGAGCACTTCGAAAGGAAGTCCAAAGTGTCGCTGCTAGAAAAATCAGACGGCATTATTTCTGTGGACCGATCCAAAGCCTCTGGTCCTGATTGCAAATTCTCTGTCCCTCTTAGTTTCCAGCGTTAAAGACATAGAAGACCTCTACAAGGATATGATCATTTGCAAAGGCTCATAAGGGATTAAAAGGTATCAGAGTCTGGAGCCAGGTCGGGAAGAGCTGGAAAGGTAATCAAAAGGACTTTGAAATCAATCTTAAAACAAACAGGGAGCCACTGTAAAGAAGCTAAAACTGGTGTGGTTCTGGTTTACCAAGGATCCATGGGTCATTTATTGTCAATAAGCAACAAAGGGTTGCTCAACCAAAATGCAGTTGTAGCTTAGTCCATTATGCTAAGCAAGACATCATGACAAGACAAACGGAACAAAGAGTAGTGCATTCCTGTAGGTCTAGTACTTTGTTGGAATTTGCATTTAAAGGAATGTAAACAGCGGTAACAAAAACACTGGTCTCAGGGAGATAACATAACCTACATTTTGACTTAACAATTCAAACTCGGGGTAACAATTCCCATCCATTGTGACGTTTTGACACCATTCATTGAAACATAGTGTCTGCATCATCTAATATCATGTCCTGCGGTCGCTCTTCAATTGCAACAGCGTGATCTGGAGCCCTGGTGAAGCCAGAGGCCTGTACTACGAAGCAGGATTTTCGCTTAGCGAGCTAACTTCAGGGTAAACTCTGGGTTTCCGGTCCTACGACGCTGGTTCTCTTCTTACCGGGGTAGATCTCCATGGTAACTTATGCTGAATGGTAAACCTGCTCCGGAGCAGGTTTGGTTCCAGGATAAGAGATCAACTCAGTGAAAGCACTGCCTGCTGACCAATCAGAGCTCAGAGCTATCAAGTCATTTTACAGGATAAAGGAAAGAAAAACTGCCGTTGCAGGAAAGACGGCCGGCAAAAATCAACTGACTGTTTGAATGTGAAAATTAATATAATATCACCTCCCATCTTCAGAGCAATCTGACTAGTATAACATTAGCGTTAAGAAAGCTTACTTAAATATCTGTCACAACATAAGTAACCGGATCAGAGTAACATTGCGTACAGTCCGGAGCACTGTGAGTGCAGA